GTGAGACTAGAACACACAGTTGTGTTATTTTTCACCAGTGATGTTAGCTTGCCTTGTTTCAGGTATGGAATAGGCATAGATTTGTATTTACCCAGAATTTAGGTTTAACCAGGGGAATACAGATAGAGGGAGAGACAGGACTCAGGCAGTTGAGGGTGGATGCGAAGGAGTGATTTCAGTGATGGATTGTGGGTACTAAACTGGGGAAGGAGAGGCATGAGGATCCAAGGAGGTGAAGGACAGTAAAATGGCAGCATAGTCCATGGCTTGGTCCCAGCCAAGAAAGGACACTTAGGGGGTGAGCTGGAAAGATATGAGATGGTGACTGGGAAGTGGAGTGCTTGAAATGTGGACTGTGGAGCAAATGCAGTTATTGGCAATATCTTGGTATGGGGCCATGATTCCGCTCCCAACTATACACTAGCAGGGTGCTTTAAAAATATGCTTGGGAGGCACTTGGGTAGCTCAGTCAGTTAAGCATCAGACTTTGGCCAGGTCATGATCTCAGGGTTGGTGAGTTTGAGCCCACATCTGGCTCTGTGCTGACAGCTCAGAGCCTGGAGCCTGGAGCTTGGATTCTGTGTCTCTCTCTCTTCCTGCCCCTCCCCAACTCGTGCTCTGTCTCTCCCAAAAATAAATAAACATTAAAAAAACTTAAAAGATATGCTTGGGACAGAGATTGGACATCAGTATTTTTTAAGTTTCCCAGGTGATTCTTTTTTTTTTTTTAAGTTTATTTAATTTGAGAGAGAGCATGAGTGACGGAAGGGCAGAGAGAGAGGGAGAGACAGAGAATCCCAAGCAGGCTCCACACTGTCAGCGTGGAGCCCGACGTGGGTCTCAAATGCATAAACTGTTGAGATTGTGACCTGAGCCGAAATCAAGAGTTGAATGCTTAACTGACTGAGCCACCAAAGCACCCCTTTCCCAGGTGATTCTGATATGCAGGTCAAGTTGAGAACTCTTGGTCTAGGACCGGGTAGCTGACATGGGGTAGAAGACAAGGAGAAAAGGAGGTCATGGAACAGAGAGGCCAGGGTGTTGGGTCATTTTCAGTATTCACACCAAGAATTACGCTAGGAGTTACGTTGTGAAGGCAATGTGCTCAAATCTCCATGGAATGATGAGGTGACGTCGGGGCTCCTAGATGACTATGATAAGGAGAGGTTGGTATGCTACTGATGAGGTTTTGGGGTGATGGTAGGGTGGTCTGGAGCTGATGGCCAAGAAGGAAGTCTTGAAGACGTCTTTGGTGCAAAAGGTGATTTTATTAAAGCTTGGGGACAGGATCCGTGGGCAGAAAGAGCTGCACTGGGGTTGTGAAGAATGGCTGGTTTTATAGTATGGAGTTTGGGAGGAGGCCTCCAGAGGGACTTTGACATGCTAAAGCAGACTCCTAAGATACCTGAGGCCTTGCTCTCGTCAAGCCAAGGTTGCTTTCCCTCTAAGTAAGGCATTAACATTAGGACAGTAAGGGTTTCCTGGAGAAATGTTATACTCTATATTTGCCTCAAGTATTTGTCAATGGGCTGCAGGTTATAAGGAATGTAATTTTACCTGCCATTTCCTTCTTGGCTTTGTTTCCCACATCACTATTGAGGGGTGATGTTGGGGCTCCAGGAAATGGAGTCTATAGGTTTCTGGAGATTAGGCTGTGGATAAGATTGCCTTTTTCTTGCAATTTACTAAGATATTTGTAAACCCATGTCCTATAAGACTGTGATCTCTGTCAGCTGGCCATTTCCTTTGTCCTTAGGCAGCCAGGAGTGCCTAAGGAATATCACCCACGTCCCACCTGGGGAGGAGGGTGTGCTAGCTTGCATTTTGTCCTTAGCCCACCTCATGCTCTCTCATCACTATCATTCGATGGTGTGAGCTTCAAAAGATCTTAAGGTTTTCGAAGATGGAGGGAGGGACAGTGGTCTGGAGATGACAGTGAAGCACAAGGAGGATCCTACTCACCTCCGACCCAGAGGTGTCAGGGTTATGGGGTAAGGGAAGCAGGGTGTTCAGGGGAGAGCCAGGTCTCAATTAAAGCAACAGGTCCAACTTGCTGAAGATTTGCAAAACTGTATTCTTCCCTTCTTTCCCTAAGTTCCAGATGTATCTGTCTAACCCAGATATTCCCCCATGGATGCTATGGGACTGCCCCAAACACAGTAAAATCCAAACTGAACCCCTCATTGTCCCAGTACCTGCTTTTTCTCCTGTGTTCCCTGCCTCAGTTTATTCCACTGTCATCTACCAAATCAACGGACCCACAATCTGTGTCATTTTGAATCTTCTCTTTCCCTTCTCTCCCCTCCCCCATGTGGTCACTGCATGCTGTTAGCTTTACTTCTCTGCTTTAATTCATGACATCTCTCATCCTCTCCCCCTCTCTTCCTGCCTTTCATCTTGCCTCTCTTAAATCCTTCCCCTGCATTGCCCTCTGAGGGAGCTTTTAAAAGTCAGATCTGACCATGTACTCCCCCTCCTTAAGATTCTAGCTGCTTAAAGAATAAAGTCCAAGAGGGATGCCTTGGTGGCTTAGTTGGTTAAGCATCCAACTTTGGCTCAGGTCAATCTCAAGTTTGGTGAGTTCGAGCCCCGTGTCAGGCTCCGTGCTGACAGCGCGAAGCCTGAAGCCTGCTTCGGATTCTGTGTCTCTGTCTCTCTCTGCCCTTCCCTCACTCATGCTCTGTCTGTCTCTCTCTCAAAAATAAACATGAAAAAAATTCTTTTAAATCTTGCTCAAAGATCACTCTTCTGTGAAATCCTTTTCTGAACTCCTGGAGAGAATTCATTACTTTCCTGTCTATACTTCTTCATCACTTTGAAATTTGCATGTGTTACATTACATTGTATGAATTTGTTCACATGTCTTTCTGTCCTGCTAAACTTAACTTCTTGAGGGAGGAAACCGGTGTCTTGGTAATGATGGACCTTGTTAACGCAGTGTTGGGCATTCAGATGAACGTCTGTGTTGGTGAAATCGGATCATGAGAGGGGAAGGGGAGTGTGCTAATTCTTACTTTTCTGGTGGAGAAATAGTTAACAATTGGTTTTTCCAACGACTAACACTGGACCCATTTTACTTAATGTTTTTGTAGATAATTGAGAAGAAAGGTAAAGTATAACACCAGGCCGGTGAGGATAGATGGCCAGAAGGTTCCACAACCCCTGAGGAGGGAGCAGGAAACTGGCATCTCAGCCCCAGTGTGACCAATGAGAACTAAAATAATCTAACATATGTATATAGTGATGAGCCACGAGCTGCTGCTTTTATTCTAGGAAACCGCTTTGGACTCACTATAGATTATGAAGAGTGTTAGGCATTATCGGACGGGAACTAGAAACCAGAGAAAATCTCCACCCTTATGTAGAATGACGTCGGGTTCTCACCTGCGGTTCAGCTTGCCATACCTTTGGCAGCACCTTGGAAGAGACCAAGCCCAGCTAGGTATCCCGAGAAGGTCCCAGAGAAAAGGAGTTACTCCACTGTGGAAAGAAACCACAGAAGCCTGGCCTGCTTCATCAGTAAGGACACCAAGGACTTGGTGTTTGTGTTTATTGACGATGGTGACAAAAATGGCTGATATTTATGAGCCCTTACCATGTCCCAGGTGCCGTGCTTTAGGTGTTACTTCATTTCATTCTTACCATAATCCTTTAAGGTGGGAACTATTATCATCCGTATTTTACATACGAGTAAAGTAAGGCGCAGAGAAGTTACGTGAGATGTCCAAGGTCACACGGCTGGTAAGTGGTACAGCTGGGGCCTGAACCCAGGCTTCAGTGCCTGGAAAGCTTGAGTCACTAGTGCCTTCCTATGTGATGTGATATGGCCAAGGTCTACAAAAAGTCCTGAAGGGCGTGGATAGAGGGGACACATCTTGGAATACTGTAGTAAGGGTAACTCGGGAAACTTGAACAGTTTTTATACCTGGGGATTAATTGTGTTGCCAACCATAATGGTTGTACAAGTAAGATGGGGAAAAAAAGTTGGAAAACGATTTAAGTGAATCCCTGGATAGTTGATGATTTCAGGTAGATAGAGTTAATACGAATTCTAGTTTACGGTCTGTGTCATAGCACACCATTTCTGCACATGCCTGGAAGCTGTTCTTAGGAGCTCCTGTCAAAGAGAGCGTGGATCCTAGGGGAGAGAGAGACAGAGAGAGACAGAGAGAGAGAACATGGATCCTGATCCAGGGGTGTGATCCATCAATAACAGAGGTTTCCAAACTTTTGGGGGTCATGAGATCAATCGAGGAGGTCTGTGTTAGTCAGTTCAGGCTGCCACAGCAGAATACGACAGACTGAGTGGCTTAAACAACAGAAATTTGTTTTCTCACAGTTCTGGAGGCTCAGAGCCCAAGATCAAGGTGCTGGCAGGGTTTTTTCTTCCTGGCTGGCGGACAGCTGCCTTCTTGCTGGTCCTCACGTGGCCTTCCCTCTGTGCATGAACAGAGAGAGAGTGAGATCTCTGGTGTCTCTTCCTCTAATTATAAGGACACCAGTCCTATCAGGGTAGGGCTCCACCCTTATGACCTCATTTAACCTTAATTGCCTCCCTATCTCCAAATATAATCACACTGTAGTTTAGGGCTTCAATGTATGAATTGGGGGGGATGCAATACGGTTCATAACAAAGTCTCAATCAGCGTTGTCTTAAAATGAAACCAAACAGATTGACTGTTATTTTGGGAAGCTTTTCCACTTATCCACTGGAAGACACCACTGAGGTGGTGATGTAAGCTGTATCTCCAACTGAGCCACAGAGGTTGAAAGCCAGTAAGAACTGTATGGCATTCCTTGCCATCCTTTACCCTCCGGCTGATGGGGAGCCAGACAAAGACTTGGAATTTGCAGTGTCTTGCCGTTGGCTGGTGGTAGAGTTGATGTCCTCCCTCTCAATCTGGGCTGGAGGAATTCCCCAGCTCCTGATCACCTGTCGGAGGGTGGCTAGTGTCATTGTTGCTTACAGTGCAGCTAAATCAACCCATTTGGTTCCCCAGGTGATGTGCTGGTGGTCCCCATCAAGCTCCACAAGTGTCCTTTCTGCCCTTACACTGCCAAACAGAAGGGCATCCTTAAGCGGCACATCCGCTCACACACAGGCGAGCGGCCCTACCCCTGCGAGACGTGCGGCAAGCGGTTCACTCGACAGGAGCACCTGCGGAGTCATGCCCTAAGCGTAAGTGTCTGGACTGGCAGGTCTCCTGTGGTGAGGGCAGCGGGGGACACAGGGGAGGGGGTTCCCGACATCTGTCTGAAGTAAGGGTAAACCAGCCTGTCTTTTGGGGCGGCTAGGTGGCTCAGTCAGTTAAGTGTCCAACTCTTGATTTCGGCTCGGGTCATGATCTCACAGTTCGTGAGTTTGAGCCCTGCATCAGGCTCTGAGCTGATAGTGTAGAGCCTGCTTGGGATTCTCTCTCTCTTTCTTTCTCTCTCTCTCTCTCTCTCTCTGCCCCTCCCCTGCTGGCGCTGTCTCTGTTTCTCTCTAAAAAACAAAAACAAAAACAAAAAACAACAAACAAACAAACAAAACCTTAAAAAATGAACAAAACAGTTTGTCTTCTGTGTCTTTGTCCACTGGACTATTTTCAGAGAATTTTAAACATATGTTTCTACTAAATTAAAGCTGGGTTGGTAGCACTTAGAGAAAGTTAAAACTTATATGATTACAGACCAGTTTTCTTAGACTCAAGAAAGTTTAGATCCTAGTTAGGGATGGTTGTCATAAGGCAGAGAACAGCGGGGCTTGGACAGGGGATTGTGGGTCTGTTCTCACCAGTGTGATACTAAAGGTGAGAAAGCTGTATCCTCAGTTTCCCACCTAATGCCAGTACCTGGACATAGGGAAAGGACATGCTGCCCTTCATAAGGCCACCTGTGGGCAGCAAACAGGGCTCCAGACCAAGGTGACCTCCCTTCCCACTGGCTACTCCCTGGGAGCCCATCTCCCAGGTGAGTGGTTAATTCCCACCAGCTAAAAGGCATTCAGGCCATTTAGGAAGGCATGTATTTAAGATCATCTTTGAGCAAGGCAATCAGTCTTTGGGAAATCAAACATAAAAATGGGTTTGGACTTCAAAGGACACTATCAAGCATGTGACAACCCACAGAAAGGGAGAAAATACTTGTGAACCGTTTATCTGCTAAAAATCTAGTAACCAGAATATATAAAGAACACTTTCAATTTAACAATAAAAAACAAATAACCAGATTAAACAATGGATGTGAAGGGACATTTCTCCAAAGAAGAGATACAAATGGCCAATAAGAACATGAAAAGGTGCTCAACATCATTAGTCATTAGGGAAATGCAAATCAGAGCCACAGTAAGATACCACTTCAAATATACTAGAATTGTTATCATCAAAAAAAAAAAAAAGTGTTGGCAAGGATGTGGAGGAATTGGAATGTTCAAACACTGCGGATAGGAATGTAAAATGGTGTAACCAATGTGCAAAACAATTTGGTGGTTCTTTAAAAAGTTAAGCATAAAATTGCCATAGGTCCCAGCAATTCTACATCAAGGTATATACCCAAGAGAACTGAAAGCATGCATTCACACAAAAAAGTACATGCCCACAAATGTTCACAACAGCATTATTCACAGTAGCCAAAAAGTGAAAACAACCCAAGTGTCCATCAACTGATGAATGAATAAAGAAATTGTGGTCTATCCATACAATGGACCCTTATTCAGCCATAAACTGGAATGAAGTTCTGATACAGCTACAACATGGATGAACCTTAAAAGCATTATGCTGCTTGAAAGAGGCCAGTCACAAAAGGCCACGTATTATATGATTTCATTTATATGAAATATACAAAATGTGCAGACTCATGCATATAGAGTAGATTAGTGGTTAGTAGGGGCTAGAGGGGTGTCGGATGGTAGCAGGGTGACAGTTTATGGCCACACGGTTTCTTTCTGGGGTGAGGAAAATGTTCTGGAATTAGCGGTGCCTGGGTGGCTCTGTTAGTTGGGCATTGACTTCAGTTCAGGTCATGGTTTGTGAGTTCGAGCCCCGCATTGGGCTCTCTGCTGTTAGCACAGAGCCCGGTTTGGATCCTCTGCCTACCCCATCCCTCTGCCCATCCCACCTGCCCTTCCCCAGCTCATGCTCTCTCTCTCAAAAATAAATAAACATTAAAAAAGTGTTCTGGAATTAGATGGTGGTGATAGTTGCACAACCTTGTGAGTGTACTAAAACCCATTGAATTGTTTGCTTTAAAAAGGTGAATTTCGGGGCAACTGGGTGGCTCAGTTGGTTGAGTGTCCGACTCTTAACTTTGACTCAGGTCATGATCCTAGGGTCATAGGATCGAGTCCCACGTTGGGATCCGTGCTGTGCATGGAGCCTGATTAAGATTCTTTTTCACTCTCCCTCTGCCCTCTCCCCTGCTCCTCTCTCTCTCTCTCAGAAAAAAAAAAAAAAAAAAAAAAGTGAATTTTATAGAATGTGAATTATGGGTTTGAAAGAATCCAGACTTAAGATAAGTACAAAGTTACTGACTGCCTCTGCTCTCAGGGCTGGCCCCAGCACACTTGTCTGAAAGTAGCTTCATTCCATGGTCTTAAGTTTTTGTTTGTCTTTTTTCCTCCTCAATTTATATCTCCAGTCTGTCTTGGCAGCAACAGGTCCCTGGAGCCCCTAAGATGTTTCATTGATTGGAATCCTTATTCCCTCTGTCTTTCCACATTATACAAAGTCGAGTCTACTGCAGCCTAAAGACGTGGTATTCAAAGGCACCATCAGGTTGCAAAGGTCATGTACATATTCTGGTTGGCTCAAGTGCTGTGGGGTGGGTGTAGGAAGCCCAGAAGACCCCATGGAAGACAGGGACATTGGCCAGGATGTAGTGGCAGCTCCAGCAAGCTGGGTATAGTGCTGTTGGCCCTTGTCCTCCACCATTTCTCTCTGTCTCTCCCTCTTGTGTCCATCCTGCATCCAGAGTCTCTACAGGAGAGGCTTTGGTTCACAGAGCTCCTTTAGGCTGGAGCTCCTGAATAGCGCACACATTAGACAGTCCCTTATATGGAGGGGGCCCCTGGGGCTGCTGCCCTGAGGAGTTGCTGCGTGGGGTAGGAGATCAGGTTCCTTTTTCTAGTATGCAAAGCGCTTCTCCTAGGTAAGGAATGTATTTATCAATGAAGAGTTAAGAATGAGACATCTGCCACATATGGAGAAGATACCATCTAACAAGTCTGCCTCCCTAATAACTAGATAGTCCCAGGTACAGAAAAAGCCATGCTTAAAATCCCCATCAGTTTCCTGAATGCTCTTTATATGCTAGACATAGGGATATAGTAACAAATGTGACAGAGAACATGAATGAGAATGGTCCCTGCCTTCTTGGAGCTTATAGTCTAGTGAATTTACCAATAATTTGTTAGAAAACCAACAAAGGAAGGAGTATAGGTGGGAATATATAGCTGGGGACCTAACCTGACCCAGAGCATCAGCGAAGAGTTCCTTCAAAGGTATTAGTAGTAGCGGAGGCCTTGGCAATGGGGGGTGGGCACGTTCCTCGCATATCCAATGGCCTTGGGGTGGAAACACCTTCGTGAGGCTGAGGCTGTGGCAGAGAGAGCAAGCAGGAGAACGTTTACTGTGTCTGCTTATAATTTTAGGTCCATAGATCCAACCGTCCAATCATCTGCAAGGGCTGCAGAAGAACCTTCACGAGTCACCTGTCCCAGGGACTGCGGCGCTTCGGGCTGTGTGACAGCTGCACCTGTGTTACAGACACACACGATGATGAAGACGATTTGATGCCCATCAATCTTAGCCTGGTGGAGGCCTCGTCCGAAAGCCAAGAAAAGAGTGACACAGACAATGACTGGCCAATCTATGTGGAGTCTGGTGAGGAAAATGACCCTGCTGGAGATGATTCTGATGGCAGACAGCAGATTCGGCCCAACTTGTCAGATCAAGAGACACTTACGTAGCGGAAAATTCTGGGGGTGGGTAGGGGGAGAGGTTTTAGAATTTGTTGTTGCTCATTCTATGTTCGAAAGCCACCATCTGTCCAATTTTATGGAAACCGGAGAGGAACATGTTTTCGCTGTTACTATCGTTACATTTTTGTTACATTACACGGCGAAGGTTGGATTTTGTGACTCAAAGGACTGATGACTTCTTAGTGGAATGCCCTTGCTTTCTGAGGGCTTTGTTGAGTTAATTCTGAGTGAATTAATGCTTGCCCCAAGGCTTCCCATTTTTCCTGTTGTGCACCCAAACTCTGGTTAGGAGAAAGACAAGAAAGTCCCCATGCTTGAGACATTTAATTGTCTCATTCCTCTAGATTCCTTTTTTTTTTTTTT